ATTCTCAAGACAAGGAGGCCGAAAAAAAAGACTGACAGATGACACCTTCCTCCACCACGACTGACCGGCAGCAGCAAGAGGGAAGGCCTGGCACTGAACACCACGTGCGGGAGCTGCCTGCGAAGCTGGGGCACCTTTCGGGCTGGGCTAATCCCATCAACAGCAGACCAGAAAAGACAAAGAACCGTGAGACAGAGCTCAAAACCCGAAAGATGAACTCTGCAATGAGGACAAACGGGCTTGAGCGGCGTGGGTGCCGCACGGAATCCTCCTTCCAGGTTCTGCAGCAGTTCATATTTTTCAAAGTGTTGGTGAACTCGCTGAATCTTACAAGAACTAGTGTTCAACATTTCTAAACCCGGAGGACCCAGAGAGGACTGCACGGGCACGCAAGTGCAAGTCTGCAGACAAGCAGGGACGAACCCTGGGCCGTGGTGACCGCCAGCGCCTCTTCCGTTCCTCCAGGACCCTCCACGGCAGAGAATCCTTGGTGACGGGTCTGCTTGCTTCACTTTCAAAGCCAGTTGGGAAAATTATCACAGTTATCAGTCAAACACCGTGATCCATGAGAGAGAAAACCGTGTTTGTGTGAGGAAAGCCTGCAGACGTGTCTCCAGGAAGCAGCAATCACAGCCAGGTGGAGAGCTTGCCTGACAGGTGGCAGCTGAAGGCAGCGGTCGCACCGCTTCTCCCCGGTTCCTAAGCTGATAAATTCCTTCTCAAATACACCGAGAGCCAAGTACAGGAGGCACTGTGGCACCCAGCCGTCTTCAGCTCTGGAGCGAGCCTGCAGCGTGAGTCACAGCCGGGCGGAAGAGCCTGCAGCGTGACCTGCATTCAAGAACGTGAGAAAACGCACGTGGGGAAACCTGCTCACCTTCGGTTGTGCTCCTTTAGTTAATCCTTTTGGTTGCCGCTGTGTGCGAGAGGGTCCACAGGCTTTACCTGATAGATGGTCTTCTGTGCTATGGATAATTTGGACCCGTAAACCTGGCCTTCCAACTAGGCACCACTGAAATGTTGCAGGCAAATCAGAACGTCACATGCACTTTACACCTTACCCACACACGTTCCAGGCTGACTGGTGGATACTGGGGTGTGAAATGAGAGAAATAGCCCCTACCGCACAGACTCGGGGACATGATTATTACCAATTAACCACAAGCTGCGCCTCAGCTCCTGCGCACCAGGTGTCCAGTGCTGGGGCTCTGTAGCACAAGCCTGTTTATCTCCAGGGCCATTCTGTGGCTTCTGGAAAAGGCCACAAAAGCAGCTCAGGGCATTGTACCCCTAAGGAGCCCATCTCAAAAGATTCTTGCCATAGCTAGTTACACCAAAGGTCTATTCAAACCCAATGTTCTGCTTTTACAGAAGTGAAAATCGTAAGCAAGAATGGCGTTCCAAAATGAGGCAGAATATCCAAGACAGACCTAAGTCACGTGTGCAAGGGTGGTGCAGTGGGGGAGCTCACAGCCGAGCACCCCTGGTGATACCCACCTCCACCAAAAATCACTGTGGTGCCTCCCGCCCAGTGATGCTCACGGAGTGGCAAAGGCATGTGGACATCAAGAACACTGGAATGTGCCACTGCCCCGCAGGGAGGGGCGGCAGGGGGGGAGGCGGCCTTCTCTGTTCTCTGATACCCAACAAACATGCAAGTGCTTGACACCTCACTCCATGACGCCCGCTGCTCAGCTTCTGTGCACAGGCGGGTTCTGAATTTCACCTCAGGCCCTTGAAGCTGTCCCTCTGAGTCCTGCCAAGAACCCTACAACGGCCTTCCACTCAAGGAGGGGCTCACGGCCCTGAAAGCCTGGGAGCTACGCAGAATCAGACACCTGTGGTTATCTTCTACCTTGGGCTCAAAAACAATGGTGGGCGTCAGGTTGACGGGCGGATCCTGGGGTGTGCGGGCGTATTCCCTCTATTTTTAATATGTTTGGAAATTTTTATTAAGTAAAACAAAACAAAACAAAAGAATTACTTAGGCTATTCAAATCAGTTTAAACTCATGCAGTGGGTGGCTAAAAGTTCTATTTCCTTCACACCAAGGAAACTAGTTTATGAAACGTTAAGTGCCCAGTCAGGAGAGCAGCTGACAGGGTTCAAATTAAACAAACACCAGCACTGAAGGGGGCAGCACTGTCAGAGGGGCAGAGCAAACCACAGCTCCGTGAAGCGAGCTTTCTTCCGTCCTTCCATTCCAAGATACCAACTTTCAATACAAATGTGTTAGTATTTGTTATTAAAATACCCTTAGGAAAAAAAGAGCTTCCAGATGACAGTTCTGAGAAAATGTGAAAACTTTTACTGTTATATTAAGAACAGGCAGTAGAAGCAACCTCTTCTGCACTTTGCAAAAGATACTGGAGGGCACATATGCCACGCTGGAATCAAGAACACAGTCGAACATGTACAAAGGTCCCACAGCAGGATATGGTTCACACAGGACTTTAACTGACCTAGTGCTGACAATACAATTTGCAAAAAGTATGAAAAAAGCAATACATATTTCTGAAACAAAAATATACCTGTTGTAAAAAATGACACGCATAGTATCAGAACAGAACAGTCAACGGAGCAGCCGTTACTGAAGACAGACAGCAGCAGGCAGCTGCACTGGCCATGGGTCTGCCGTGCGTCCACACCCGCGAGGCCCTATCATGAAGAACACACTGCTCTCTGCCGGTGGGGAAGCACACAGACCGCTTGGCCACCATGCTTTCTGCCCGGTCTGTTCATGCGGAGACTTAGCAGTGACAGCCCAGAAGGGAGTGGAGTTCTATGCTCCAAAGACATCACTGTCTTCAACACACATCTAAGGTTCTCTCTGGAACCCCAGCTCCTCCACTCTTCAAAGCTAACGACATACAGAAACGGAAGTAAGAATATGAAGACATCACATTGCCTTAGAAAAACTGTTCTGAACGTTTCTTCAGACCGAGTCTTGACAGAATGGGAAGAGCAGCTCCGCCTCCTGAGGCTTCCAGGGACTCCAGACACACACGAGCACCCATCTTCAGTCATTAGCCACGGACACTTTGGTCCCAGCCAATGTCAGCCTTTTCTAGAAACTGGAGACCCTGATTCAAATGGCAAGATGTGTTCGTTCCATTAGCCTTGCACTAACCCTACGCTTCACAAAGATTCCGGACTAGGGTTATTCCCCATCCAACTTCATGCATCAGGAACCAGAACATTCTCACACCCAACTTTATGCATCAGAGTACCAGAATATTCCCACATTTTATTTCAAGGCACTCTCCACCAGAAAGCATAAAAAGAATAAACTACTCTGTAAGATGAAACTACATTCTTATAAACACAACAGTGAGATGCCAAATGAGACAAAGCAGAATTATCCTGAATGCTCATTATCCCAAAGTGGCTTAATTTCATTTGCTTGCTGCAAAGACAAAGACTGTAAAAGGAGCAGGGAGAAAGTGTGCAAAGCACTTCCTTGGAAGACCTCCAGTCCACTAACAGACCGTGAGAAAAGCAAGTGCAGCCCCTACATGACAGGAAGGAACGTGCAGCCCCGGAGACTTCCGAGTCTCCCCGACATCTGCTCGCGCCGGATGCTAGCACTGGCCTATCAGCCCCCCACCGGCTGAACTGGAAATCCGCAGCAGCAGTTCGCGTGACCGCCACACAGTGACAGTCCAGGCATTTGAGGACCCACTCGTGTCCCCCAGTTCCTGGAGACACTTCCCCCTGCTATGCATCTCACTCCCTCTCGTTTTAAGAATAAGTCAAACTGACGATGTAGTACACAATAAATGATCTTATACACACTAATAATAAAGGTAATTAGGAAGATGCTGAATGATCTGGTGCTGCTACAGAAAATGAGCAGACGCACCTCTCACCTAAGTTTTCTTCTAGCTTCTGCTGTATTTCACTTCCCAGTTAGTCTCTTTCCCTCCAACTTATCTTCATCTTCAGACCTCAGAGGAAAGAATGCCATGGAAGGGTCAGGCGTGGCAGAGTGGGAGTTGGAAGCAGCACTTCCGGGGGTAGGGCGGCCCCGCTTCCCCAGGACCGCACCTGACGAAGGCGTAGGTCCAGAGGCCACCACGCTTCTGTAAGGACTGCAGCAGTTTTATCTTTGCATCTCTAACTACATGAGCCATCTGGGTCAAAGTAAACACTGCTAAAAGCCCGTCCACACTGGGAAGAGCAGCAGAGGGCTTGAAAACACGTCACCAGGCTCCAACGGAGAAAGCAGCATCATTCAGAGGCGGGAACAGTGCTGTGGACGCCTCGCCATCAACACTCAAGGGACCCAGGAGCGCGGTGAGGATGGCCGCTCAGAAGCAGATCACCTAACCGGCTCCGGTACTGCCGAGCTGGCCACCGCACCCAGAGGCCATGCTTGTCAAGATGCCTTGCTACTTGAGAATCAGGCGAGATCCCAGATTCAAGTGCTGGCAGAATTTCGCCCATCAGATGCACCTGCAGTCTCCACTGCCTCCAAAGGACGCCTTCCGATGGGTCAGCAGTTCATGAACATCCACAAAACCAATGCTTGGCACCACTCAGTGGGGTCGACAGTGCCCGGCGGCCCACTGCGATGAGTCCAGACACGTCTGCACCAAGAGCTACACAGGCAAGTGCCATCAACTATCCAGACTGGCAGACAAGGCACACAGCCCTGTACCACTGCCCTTCTGCCCACCACAGAGCAGGGGACGGATCTGGGAGCGCAGGACACCCGCAGAGCCGCCAACAGTGGAAAATGAGATGCTGCCAAGATGCTGAGGGGCAGATCACTGAGGCTGAACACGCTTCCTTGTGCCAACAGCTGCACACTGGCCGCTGAGGCCCTGCGTCCCCTGTGGCCAAGGGCTGCCTCGCTCTAAGGAAGGCCACTTACTCAGCACAGGGCCAAGAGGCCTTTCCAGCTACAGGTACCAAAAAAAGCCACTGCCGCCATCAGAGGGGGAACAGCGTCCCAAAAACAACTGTCGTTTGAGATGATTAACACTTTTTAGAGGCCATTTTGGTCATTCTTGAAATCAAAGAGAAACCTTTATTTTCAACAAAACTGCCCAGAAGAGATGGTTCGTGGATCCACTATGAACAAGTCTCTCACCACGCACAGCACCAACATATATATTTAAAAAATTAAAAAACACATAGCCCCTCACACACATCTCCCAAAAGCCACACAACCCAGACCAAAGGGAAAACCAAACTGAATGCCCTCACACACAAGCCGTCTTTGAATTAGGATTTACAAATTTATATGTTTTTTCCTACGGAAAAAAAAAAAAAAACAAACCACAGGGGTAAGGAAAAACTTGTAGGTGAAGGCCTGACAAGATTTAGGGGAAGTAAGATGTAATGTCTGCCTAAGCTAACAGAAAGCAGAATCATGATTCGTGCTTTTCCTGTATTTGGAGTGGGATGCGGCCCTCCGGGGCAGACCAAATCCTTCAGCAGCCAGAGGCCCCGGGAACGCCGGAAGAGCCAACCACAGACTGCCAGATTCTTCAGCAAGTACTGGTGCAATCTGCATCAGACTGCCCAAGGGACGGCACCTTTCCTTGCAAGTTTCCACTGCCCACAAAGGCCATTTTTCCCTATAAAAAAAGATGCCAGGTCAAAAAAAAGTACAAGGGAGAAAAAGAGTTCTCTACTGCAGTAAGAGAGCCGCAGTCGCGGGCTGATCCCGGGCAAGCCACGACGCGGGCCGCTGTTGGGTCCTCCACACAAGCGCAGGTGCTACTTGGGCTCCTCAATCACACCCTTGCTGAGGTCTGTCATTTTGGGATATTTTACTTTCTTCTGGTCCAGCTCATTCTGAGCCCAAAGTAGTAGTTTCAGTAATTTTGCCAGTTTGGGTGTTGACTCGCGATTTTCATAGTCGAGGACAGCTTGGTTCACTTCACTCCACACCTAGAACACAAAGACATCCAATAAAACCACCAAACGCGCAGAGCGTCAGCACTCATTAAAAACGTGGTTTAAACAAACACTAAGCCCTAAATGTGAGACACTCTCGGAATATTAAACACATAGTCCTTGCCTGGGGAAGCTCACAGTCTGGTCAGCAAATGTCACCTCCAGCCTTGATGGCAGTTAAGTGCCAAGAGCAAGGCTTGAACCAAGTGCTGAGGGAACTGTGAGAGTCAAGACCAGCACAGAGGCCGCAACAGCAGCCTCCTCACGCGCCTCAGAAAACATCTCCAGGGACTCAGGACAGGCTGTCCTCCAAAGACAGCGCAAGAACGGAGTCTTGGGAGAGGACCTGGGGGAGACAGTGCAGGGAGGACAGGGTCCCGGGAGAGGACCCGGGGGGGAGACGGTGCAGGGAGGACAGGGTCCCGGGAGAGGACCCGGCGGGGAGACGGTGCAGGGAGGACAGGGTCCCGGGAGAGGACCCGGGGGGAGACGGTGCAGGGAGGACGGGG